CAACCCTTTCTCTACATGTGGCGATTCTACTCAGGACCACTCAATGCTGACTGGCATTCTTAAGGACCCGCAGTGCGCAAGAAGAGCGCCCAACCCAGCAGTGATTTCAAGAAGAGCACCCAACCCACGCCCGGACGATGCGCAGGAGGGTGGCGGACTACCCGGAGATTCGTGAGTATGTTGATGCATGCGACCCTGAGGCTCGCAGCCGGGTTGGATTTCAACGTCTGAAAGACCATGCTTTAGATCTGGATCGTCAGTCTCTCACGGAGGAGATGCGCGACCTCGCGGCGGCCCAAATGGAGCCGAATGACCCGCGCCAGAAGGCTCGGAAGGAACACATACTACGGAAACTCAAGCGACTCGTCCCTGGCGCTAGTGACACCATCAAGGCAGTCAAGGACCCAGTCCACGGCATGTGCACTTCTCCCCAGGAGATCGCCCAGTTTCTCCAACGCCATTGGAGCAAAGTTTTTCGTAGAAAGCCGATCGACGGGAGATGCTACAGCAGTGGCTCAGCTCGTTGCCGCACATCGCTAAACAGGAACTACCAACGACGCCAGCTCAACGATCCCGCCCACCTCACACGCCACACCCGACAGCACCAACCACACCATCAATGCAATCTCCCTCCCCGCGCTTCCCTCCTACACCCTCCTCCGAGCCGCCCGCACAATTTCCGCCTCCGCTCACGACCTCGGCTACGACTGGGATGTCCGGCCGCCCGCCCAGATTCTCAGCTAGTTCACCTAGCCGGCGCAGGCCCCGCCTGCCGGCCCGCAGCTGGGAGTGGAGAGTCACACGCCAAGACATGGAGCACGCGCTATCCCACAGCGGGAACAGCATGCCGGGACCAGACGGCATCCCGTTCCAGGCCTGGAGACAACTGGGCCCGTTGGGCGTGGACATCCTCACCAGAGCCGCGTGGGCACTCGAGCGCAAGGACGCCGAAGACCTCTTAATTGACGGTTATCGCGAGGAGTCCGATGACTGCGACCACCGCTTCAACTTGAGCACGCTGGTCTGCTTGCCCAAGAAAGCTGCTTGCACCACGGACAGCAACCTCCCTTTTTTCCTCCCTGAGGGGACGCGACCCCTTTCTATAGTGAACTGCGACAACCGGCTCATCGCGAACGCCGTCCGACAAAGGAAGGAAAGCCACTTCGCGGACTGGGTCCTTCAACGCCAGCAGGGCTTCCTCCCGAAACGCTCCATCCTCACCAACCTCATCGGGCTTGAGACGGACATGATGGCCACGGCGCTTACTCAAGACAATGGGGCTTGCATCCTCCTGGATTTCAAGGCGGCCTTCCCGTCCATAGCTCAGGAGCTTCTGTTCCAGACCCTGGAGTTCATTGGCTTGCCCCCCACCGCGCTGAACACGGTCCGCCACCTGTACAACAATGCCTCATGTCGGATAGCGGTGGCCGGGGGGACGTACGAGGGTTTCAGCTTGGAAGCCCAGGTACGGCAAGGGTGCCCTCTTTCACCACTGTTGTACGCAGTCGTCGCGGAAGTGCTGGTCGACATGATCTGCGACTCTTGCCCCGGAGTGCGGTGCTTCGCTTACGCAGACGAAGCCGCCTTGGTGACCGACAACATTACGGAGCAGGGGCCCCGGCTGGCTCGCCTGTTCGAAGAGTTCTCGCTCATCTCGGGTCTTGATCTCAACCTTGACAAGTGCATCGTCATCCATTTTGACGGCGGGGACACGGTGGACTTTCAGCATCAGCTTGCTCGGAACGTTCCCGTTTGGAGCCAGATGTCGGTCCGACTGAAAGGCAAGTACCTCGGCTTTATCATCGGGCCCGCAAAAGGGGAGGAGAGTTGGAGGGAATTGCTTAAGAGATACGCGTCGCGATGCCATCTTTGGTGTGATATTGGAGCGGGATTGCAGCACGGCGCCCTCGTCTACAACACGTTCGTGGCATCTGTGCTCACCTTCGTCATGCAGCTGGAACGCCTCCCGGACGAGGCCCTGGCGAAGGAGACGCAGGTGTCGCAGCAGACGGCCAGGGGGCCCGGGGCGTGGTTCATCAACCTTGACCTTTTCACACTCAAGGAACGCTTCGGCATGGCGAAATCTTTCCATTATCTGCCCTGGTTGGCCCTTGCGGCAAGGTGCAGGGTAAGCAGCTTCGACCGGGCCTGCAGCCAGGGCCGCCTCCGGGATCTATCCGTCAAGCTCGCCCATGCGCGTGGCCTGGGGAGGCGGACTCACGTCCTCGTTGAATGGCAACAGGTTCAACGGCGCTTTCGTGGTGAATTTGGAGCAGGCCCAGGACTACGTGCACCGCGTCTTGGGAGGGATGAGCAATCTGCAGAAGTCTATGGCCGACGACGCTTTCCCACAGAAGTTCCAGAACATCGTCTACCAGGGCATCCTGGACAAGGAGGCCCCCGACGCTCTGATGCGGGCGCGGCATAAGCTCAACCTCCGCCAACTGTGGGATCCAACGCTCTTCCCGCAACCACCCGGCACCAGCATATTGCAGAGCACGCCGCACTACGGGGCGCGCCGGGCCGTCAAACAATTCCAGGAGCTGAGATCGCTTGTGGCGCCGCGCGTGCAGTCGACGGTTTTCAGCACAATGTGGAACAGATGGACCACCCACCGCCGCTTCCAACAGCGCCATGCCCCTACCAATCGCTGCCTGTTCGGATGCCCGCCCGGGGCCGAGGACTCCATCGAGCATTACTGCCGGTGCCCATCAACGGCACGGCTGCTGCAACGGCGACTCAACCTGGACGCGTCGATCTTTTGTAACATTCGCACGTTCATGCTCGCCAGCATCCACATCAACGACGACGAGACACTTTGCAAGGTGGGGCTGATGATCTACGCGGTTTACAACGCAGTCAACACCCTCCGGCACGTCGAGGTGGCATCCGAGGACTCCTTCGACTGCCTGTGCCAGTCCTTGCGAGAGGCGGCCAAAGGGCACAAGTACTCTACTACGGTGCTAGACGGCGCCTTCCGGACACCACGGGGCGCCCAGGGAACTTGTTGCGGTGGTTTCACAGCCATTCGTTTCCCCTAGCCGTCTCTTCGGAGGCCACCCCAGATCACAGGTCCCTCCTGCTGTCGTCCTCGTCGTCGGCGTCGTCGTCGCTGGGGTCGTCGGCGTCGGCGTTGTCGTCGCCGTTTCGTTTTCCTTTCTCCTCTCGCCTCTCTCGCTCCTCTGGGCGCCGGCCTCTCTCCCCCCTCTGCGCTCGCCCCCGGGTGCATGCGGCCGCGCCCATCGCCTGGCCTCGCCCTGGCACCACCCCCGCCGCGGGAAGGTTTTTGTAGCGCGTTTGGTGGAGGACGCGATTTGTCCGCTCTTCGCCTCGGCCGCATGCCCCGTATCTTCCTCCTTCTCTTTCTTTCTCTCTTTCTCGGACTCTCCGGCCGGTCGGCCCGAGGCGCCTCCGAAAGGCCACCGTTGGGCTTAACAGTTTGTGCTCCGTTTCGAACAGGCGCTTGTCGAACTCTCAGGCCGGTCGGCCCGAGGCGCCTCCAAAGGGCCACCGTAGGGCTTAACAGTTTGAATTCCGTTTTCGCCCAGGCCTTTTTCGAACTCTCCGGCCGGTCGGCCCGAGGCGCCTCCAAAGGGCCACCGTAGGGCTTAACAGTTTTAATTCCGTTTTCGCCCAGGCCTTTTTCGAACTCTCCGGCCGGTCGACCCGAAGCGCTTCCAAAGGGCCACCGTAGGCTTAACAGTTTTAACTCCGTTTGCGCCCAGGTTTTTTTCGAACTCTCCGGCCAGTCGGCCCGAGGCGCCTCCGAAAGGCCACCGTAGGGCTTAACTGATTTAACTCCGTTTGCGCCCAGGCCGTTCTCGAACTCTCCGGCCGGTCGGCCCGAGGCGCTTCCGAAAGGCCACCGTAGGGCTTAACTGATTTTACTCCGTTTGCGCCCAGGCCGTTCTCGAACTCTCCGGCCGGTCGGCCCGAGGCGCTTCCGAGAGGCCACCGTAGGGCTTAACAGTTTTTATTTCGTTTCGAACAGGCGTTTGTGGAACTCTCAGGCCGGTCGGCCCGAGGCGCCTCCCCTCTGGCCGCGCCATTTGCCTCGATTGACCATTTTGGTAGTGATCAGCAATTGGCCGAGTGCTGATCCCTACCAAAACGTCGTTCTGACGTTTACTTCACGCTTGTAGCATGTTGCGCATAGCCGGTCGTTGTCAGTGTAAGACGCAATTGAGATGAGTTTGTTCGTTCCCTCTCCTTCCCCCTGTCTCCCTCTCCTTCCCCTCCGCTGCTCCTCCTCCCCTTTTCGTCTCAGCAGCTTTGCATTACGTTTTTTAAGAGACGCGGAGCGCCATGAGGCTAGGGGCACGTGCTGGTTGGTCCAGCGTCGACCCCACCTCGTGCGCAACGCGGTGACCCGAATATTTTTGGAATAGCGGGAATTTCTCCGCTGTGGGCCGCATTCGACATCGGATACGAAGGCAGTCAAGTGCTCGCGGGGGGCTTCCGTGCGCATTTCGCACGCGCGTGCCGAGTTCTCTACTTCTTCCTCCTCCTCCCCCCTCTCTTCAGTTGGCCTTTGCCGTCGGCCGCTCGGCGGACGCAAGCCCGGGCTGTGGCAGGATTGGAGTTATTTGGGTTGCCATCTTCTCCGATGCGTTACTTCATCGTGCCGTGCCCTCTGTACGATTCCCGAGGGCTGTATACTTTGCCTTGGCGATGGGGCCGCCTCGGCTTTCCTTGCCACCCGGAGCTTCGGCTGGGCTTTAAAGTTTACGTGGTCATTCATGGAGCTTGGGCTCAGACCTTCAGCATTTAGGTCTTCCAATGTCTCTTTTCTTCCCCGCCTCTCCCCGCCTCCCCTCTCTCCTCCTCTTTGTCCCTCCACGATCTCATAATATTGTGTTGGATTTACGGCAGCGGCCGTTGGGGCCTGGTGGCAGAGGGTTACGACACAATGTATGCGACTCAGGCCCGTAACGTTTTGAGGGCAATTCGTATCATTCGCCATCTTGTTTCCTGCTGGTCTCACTCCTGAGGAAAGGGCGATGACGGTCCTGCGGCAGGGTTGCCTGCCGACTCCCCGGCACAAGGTGGTCGATGATCCAGGGTGTGCGATATCTCCCTTTCGCCTCTTCCCCCCTCTTCTCCAAAATAGCGCGGAAACAAAGAGAAGAGCGCAGCAAGAAGTCCCGTGGTGATCTGCGTATAACGAACTTCCGCTGGACATCCCAGGAGCCCACGAAAGTGGCGACAGTTGCGCAGATCGCAGCCCCCCAGGGGCGGCGAGGTCCCGTGGTGATCCGCGTATGACGTACCTCCGCGGGGCCTTCCAGGAGCCCACGAAAGTGGCGACAGTTGCGCAGATCGCAGCCCCCCAGGGGCGGCGAGGTCCCGTGGTGATCCGCGTATGACGTACCTCCGCTGGGCCTCCCAGGAGCCCACGGAAGTGGCGACAGTTGCGCAGATCGCAGCTTCCCGGGAGCGGCGAGGTCCCGTGGTGATCCGCGTATGACGTACCTCCGCTGGGCCTCCCAGGAGACAGTTGCGCAGATCGCAGCCCCCCAGGGGGCGGCGAGGTCCCGTGGTGATCCGCGTATGACATACTTCCGTTGGGCCTCCCAGGAGCCCACGAAAGTGGCGACAGTTGCGCAGATCGCAAGCCCCCCAGGGGCGGCGAGGTCCTGAGGTGATCCGCGTTTGACGTACCTCCGCTGGGCCTCCCAGGAGCCCACGAAAGTGGCGACAGTTGCGCAGATCGCAGCCCCCCATGGGCGGCGAGGTCCCGTGGTGATCAGTGTATGACGTGCCTCCGCTAGACCTCCGAGGAGCCCACGAAAGTGGCGACAATTGCGCAGATCGCAGCCCCCCACAGGGGGCGGCGAGGTCCCTGGTGATCCGCGCATGACGTACCTCCGCTGGACGTTCGCAGATCGCTGTCCCGTGGTGATCGCGTATGACTACCTCCGCTGGGCTTCCCAGGAGCCCACGAAGTGGCGACAGTTGCGCATATCGCAGCTTCCCGGGAGCGGCGAGGTCCCGTGTGATCCGCGTATGACGTACCTCCGCTGGGCCCTCCCAGGAGACAGTGCGCAGATCGCAGCCCCCCAGGGGGCGGCGAGGTCCCGTGGTGATCCGCGTATGACATACTTCCGTTGGGCCTCCCAGGAGCCCACGAAAGTGGCGACAGTTGCGCAGATCGCAGCCCCCCAGGGGCGGCGAGGTCCTGTGGTGATCCGCGTTTGACGTACCTCCGCTGGGCCTTCCAGGAGCCCACGGAAGTGGCGACAATTGCGCAGATCGCAGCCCCCCAGGGGCGGCGAGGTTCTGTGGTGATCCGCGTATGACGTACCTCCGCTGGGCCTCCCAGGAGCCCACGAAAGTGGCGACAGTTGCGCAGATCGCAGCCCCCCAGGGGCGGCGAGGTCCTGTGGTGATCCGCGTATGATGTACTTCCGTTGGGCCTCCCAGCAGCCCACGAAAGTGGCGACAGTTGCGCAGATCGCAGCCCCCCAGGGGCGGCGAGGTCCCGTGGTGATCCGCGTATGACGTACCTCCGCTGGGCTTTCCAGGAGCCCACGAAAGTGGCGACAGCGCATATCGCAGCCCGACGGCACGAGAGAAGAGGAGAGGGGAACACAGGAAACAGGAGAGAAGGAGGAGGGGAGGAGAGGGGAGAAGAGGAGGAGGTGGAAACCACACTGCTCTATTCAAAACGAGAACCCAACATAGGAGGGTTGGGAACAACACAAGTGATCAACAACAACAGACATTACACGATTCCGCATACAATGTCGAGTGTGTGCGCGTTTGTGTGAGAGGCCTCCTGAACGTAATGGTACTTACGCAACAATGTATATGATCCTAGTGTGCTGAGCGCAATGAGATGGCCGACGCCTCGTGTGCTGTGCGCTGTTGAGTGTGTGTGTGTGTGCGTGTTGCGTTTGGTGAATCGCAAGACCTGGCCACTTCGGTCCATACACAGCGTTCCGCCAGGTGAAGAACACATTCATCGATCTGGACGAGGAGCTGGAAGTGAGCGGTGCCGAGTCGATCTGGCAGCGAAACGTGAACTGGAAATCGAAAACGATGATGTTTCCGAGCAGCCCGCAGAGGGAAATCGTTGGTTTCTGTTCCCGCAGGTTGAATAATGATCGATTAGCCAGTCGCGGTGGCCGCTTGAAGGTCGGGGCACCTTGTCCAGCACTTGGGAGTTCGACAGCCGCACCCTGAGTTCTCGCCCAAGTGGCAAAACGACTGGAGGCGCCTCGAGTGGGTGCTTTGTTATCATGTCGTGCAGGAGGCAGTGCCCTACCCCACGTGAGTCACTCGCGGGGGGACGAAGACGATTCCCCTGTCCCCCCGCCCATTCCCCGTCCCCTCGCCCTCTTCCCCTCACTCGTGCTCGCTCCTCTCCTTCGCCCTCCCTCCTCCCCGATCGAACTCGCCGCCCGCGCCACCCCACGGCTTTCCGGCCCATCTCTGCCTGGAGCTGGGGCCGCGGATGGCAATTACAGCCAGCTGGGGCTGGGGCCAGGACTCCTGGCCATTCCCCATCCCAATGCTTGCTTCGATCTGACCAGTCTGATCTCGATCTCGATTCTGGCCAGCCCGAGCCGATTCGATTCCGACAGTCCGCCGATCCGATGCGGCCAGATGTTTGCATGGGCGCCGTGATGCACCCTGGCGCGGCCGATCTGATTCGACTCCGACTCCGTGCCGATGCAGCCCGATCCGATGCCGCACGTTCCGACCCGATCCGATTTCCCGATTCGATGCTCACTGATCGTGCCCTGTTCCCTGCAGCGAGTTTTGGATTCGGAGTCGGTTTTTGACGATCCCAGTGCCCAGCGAGGGCCTCCAGAGGCAGAAGCTCTTACACATGGAAGACTGAATCCCCTGGGGGCCACGTCCGAGGGGGGTTGTCCAGAGGGGTTGTACGGATCCCTGCTGGGTCGTCCAAGGGATTGTCCAGTCCAGGTAGTCCTGCTGTCATTAATCTGCGCATGGGTCCTCTGGGGCTTCCACCTGGGATGCTTTCATTGCATCCTTTCTCCACAGAATATAGGAACAGGTGCCGCATCGTTTCCCAACCATGTTTTCGCATGCAGGGCAGCTTGCCTGGCATGAAGACTTGCATTCTCATAGACCCCTGCCGGCGCTGTGGACCAGCTGTGCGCCAGTCGCTCTGGCGCTCGAGATGTGGTGACCTTCGCAGGGGGATGGCGCTCGTCATGGTGGGCCGGAGGCCTCTCTG